GGCAGGCAGTGCTGCGGTCGGACGCTCTCAGGCGCCTCTGAGGGAGTGGCCTCAGACTAAGTGGCAGGGGAAGCCTCAGGAGGCGGCAGCGGGTCCTCGGTGGACAGGGCCCTTCCTTACCCACCTCTCCTGACGTCAGGGGCTCCCCGGGAGGGGCGGCGTATAGGAGGCCTCGGAGAGGCGTGAGGCCGCTGAAGGGGCCAACGGTGGGCACTGTTGGCCTCCTCAGCGTTAGTGACATGGCCCAAACAAGACGTTTCTTTACACGCCCCTGTACTGGCCGGTGCCAGGAGGGCCACCTGGAGGTGACGCAGTACCTGCGTGCAGGGAATGCGGCGCAGACCGGCACGGCGCGCGCCTCGGACGGCAAGGACCCGCCCCTGCACGCCGCGGGCGGCAGGATGCCCAGGGCCCGGGGCCATCGTGTGGTTTGGTAGTCTTGGGCCCGGTTGCGGTGGGGGAGGGGAGGCGGGGGCGGACGGCAGGCGGGGCGTGGAGGGTTGGGGCCATGGGCAGGGTGGGGCAGGGGACGGGACGGGGATCGGGATTCACCATGTTGACCAGGCTGATCTCGAACTCCTGGCCTCGTGATCCACCCACCTCAGCCTCCCAAAGTGCTGGGATTACAGGCGTGAGCCACTACGCCCAGCCTCAGTCCCACTTTTTAACCAATGTCTACAAAGATGTGGTGAGCTGTCCTCTCCACCCCCTCACCCACTGTCACCATGAGTCCCCACACCTGCTGTGTCTGACCTCTATCCCTTTCACCGTGTGCCCCCTCCATCAGGAATGCCCTTCCATCCTCCTCCCTCTTGAAGACTCAGTCCCCATCCCTCCTCCATGAGGGCCACCCTGATTTATTTCCCCTTTGCTGGCCTCCGCCCCACACTGCCCAGGGCTGCTATGAGCATGACCTGTCATGCTTGGTTGACCATAACTGATTTTGACCTTTGCCTCCCCCAGAAGACTGAGTTCCCAGAGGGCAGGGTGGTAAGGGTTACCAGACGAAATGCAGTTCATCCAGTTTCAATCTGAATTTCAGATAAACAGATAATGCTTTAGTATTCTATATCCCAAATATTGCATGGGACATACTTGTACTAAAATACAGCTTGTTTATCTAAGATTCAAAGCTAGTCAAATGTCCTGGGTTTTGTTGTTGCTGTTTTTGTTAATCTGGCAGCCCGCGAGATGTCCACTATGTACTGAATGTTTCCGCTGTGCTAGCTCTGGGCTATGCTAGCTCTGGGCTATGGCACTAGCAGGCAGGTTCTTCTTTTTTTATTTTTATTTTTGAGACTGAGTCTTGCTCTGTCATCCAGGCTGGAATGCAATGGCTCAATCTCAGCTCACTGCAACCTCTGCCTCCCAGGTTCAAGCCATTCTTCTGCCTCAGCCTCCCAAGCATCTGGGACTACAGGCATGTGCCACCATGCCTGGCTAATTTTTGTATTTTTAGTAGAAACCCAGTTTCGCCATCTTGGCCAGGCTGGTCTCAAACTCCTGACCTCAAGTGAACCACCTGCCTTGGCCTCCCAAAGTGCTGGGATTGCAGGTGGGAGCCACCGCACCCGGCCCAGGTTATTCTTAAGTCCTGTTGTCATTCTTATTTCGTGGGGGGTAGTTGAGGCTAGGGCCATGTCTTGCCATGGTTAGTAAAGTACCCAGTGAATGCCATATTGTTATTCATTTATTTATTTATTTTGAGACTGGGTCTTGCTCTGTTGCCCAGGCTAGAGTGCAGTGGCACAATCTTGGCTCACTGCAGCCTCCACCTCCTGGGTTCAAGTTATTCTTCTGCCTCAGCCTCCTGAGTAGCTGGAACTACAGGTGTGTGCCACCAGGCCCAGTTAATTTTTGTATTTTTAGTAGAGATGAGGTCTTTCCCAGACTGGTCTCGAACTCCTGAGCTCAAGTGATCCGCCTGTCTCGGCCTCCCAAAGTGCTGGGATTACAGGCGTGAGCCACCGCGTCCGGCCATCAACTATTTTTATTAATTTACTATGACCATCAACTGAGATTACTCCGGTAAGGCACCTAGCAGGGGACCTGCCAGAATCAGAATTCAATCAATGGTACAGCTGCAGCTGGGGAGGCTCACAGGTGGGGCTAGAGGGCCCCGGACTCTGTGCCATCACCCATAGTCGCACAACAGAGGCACAGACTCAGCTGTCCCCTCGGTCACACAGCTGGTAAGTGGCATTTGAACACCCATCTGTATGTGTGATGCAGAGCCTGGCCGGCAATATGGGCATGCAGGGAGTGAAGAGATGGAACGTGTCTCAGGGGCTTCTCTTGGGGCCTAGCTTTCGGCTGTCACTGTCCTTGTTCTCCCAGCCTAGAGGGGGCCTAACGGGACCAGGAAAGCTGTCCTGGCTGCTGGGCTGCTGGATGTGAACAGCCCAGGGTGCAGTTACCACCAAAAGACACTAGGTGGAGCCACAACCTACCCCTCAGACCCAGGAGAAGTTCTAGGTTGGGGGCCTATTGGGTTCCAATTCACCTTTTGTGCCCAGGAGGCCAATTCTTCACAGGACTTCACATCCTGCCCATCTACCTCCCCCAGTCTATCACCCCCCAGATCAACCACATGCTCCACCCCGCATCCATTCCTCGCTCAACCATCCAACTACCCATCCACTTGTTGCCTGCCCATCAACGTGTACCAGGCCACCCCCCTTTGCCCTCCACCCTCTTGTTCCCAACACGACTTAGCCCCTCTTCTGACCCCTGTCACGTGTGCCCTTTCCCTCCCTCTCATACACATCCTGAGACCCTCCCAGCTGGCATCTCCCTGTCCCTAAAGCCCTGGTTTTCTGTCCATTTCCCTGACTCCTGAGACCCCCAAGGCTGTCTGCAGCCCCCATGGACCCTCACTCACTGATTTCTCCCCCGTCCCTACTCCCTAGACACAGGGCTGCCATTTGCTGGGGCTGATGCTGGGCCTGGCACTTCATGATGGTGCGGGGAGCAGGCAGCATGCCTGGTGATCCAGAGAGGGTCCCGTCGACACAAATGAGGCAGACAGAAGACCCAGCTACGTATCTATGTTCAGAAACATGCTGGCTCGTGGCTGCCGGCCTCCACACCCCAGTGCCAGCATCACCCCCACGCACACTCACATGCTGGTGCATCAGGACAGGCTGATTAATATTTCATGACCAACACTCAGCAGCCTAAATTATTCACCCCGTAACCAAGGCACAGTGAGTGCCGGGGTCTTGGGGACTGGGGGCTGGTGGGGGCCCACTGGGTTCTTTCTGCAGAGGCCCACAGTGGTGTGCACAGCTGCGGGGGTCCAGACCTGCAGTGAGCTCTGCTCTCCCACCACCCCCGACTTGGCAGAGATCCATGACCCAGGGGTGCCCAGCCAGCCGGAGAAGGTCTGAGAAGCTGGCACCAAGCAGGATCTGAGCAGCAGGGGGCAGTGGTACCCACAGCCTCCTGCAGGGCTGCTGGCTGGCACTCCCAGCCCAAGTTCCTGGCACAGAATGAGCCCTCAGTAAGTGCTGGAGCTCGTCACCATTATTATTAGTATTTGCATCTGCACTCATGCGCCCCATTATGGAGTCAGAGCCTCCAGCTTGGAATACCCCAGAACCTGGGGCAGATATGCTAATGGGCTGGGTGGGGGGGGGTCCTGGCTCAACATCCCCTTCCACCTTGGCCTGAGGGCAAGAAGAACAATGGGCATTCTCACAGTCACTGGGGAGTATTACAAAGATATGGATGAGCATAAGGACCCAAATGAAATTCCCATCACACACCTGGAATCAAGCACCTTGGGAGGCCAAAGCAGGAGGACTGCCTGAGCCTAGGAGTTCGAGACCAGCCTGGGCAACATAGAGAGACCCCCCCATCTCTACAAACAAAACAAAAATTAGCCAGGTGTGTTGGTGAACAGCTGTAGTCCCAGCCGCTCAGGAGGCTGAGGAGGGAGGATGACTTGAGTCCAGGAAGTTGAGGCTGCAGTGAACTATGATCACACCACTGCACTCCAGCCTGGGTGTCAGAGCAAGACCCTGTCTCTAAAATAAATAAATAAATAAATAAGAACAGAAACAAAATTCCCATCACTGGAGAGAGGAATTAATAAAAGTAATAATAGTAAATAATAATAATAATAGTGATAGCAGCCACCATTTACTGAATGATTACTCTATCTCAAGCACTGTGATGAGTACAACACACACGTTCTCTCAGCTGGTCCTTGTAACAACCCTACAGGACAGGTGTTAGCATTGTTATCCTGGTACAGATGAAGAAACTGAGGCACAAAGAGCTAAGATCACTCTATGAGAAAGAGGCAGAGCCCCAATTTGAGGCTGTGTCTGATGCAGAGCCTGCTTCCGACTCCAAATGTGCCACGTCTGCACCCCTTCTGCTCTTGGTCGGTCTGTCCCGCTGCCTCCCTCCCTTCCACCGCACAGACCACTGCCCTTCCCTGCAGGCCTCCCTGCTGGGAACTCAGGAACACTCTGCCAGCTACTGGGGCACAGTCCTACAGGAAGACCTGCAGGGAGGGCCCTGGCTTCGCTAAAGGAGGACCTGGCTCGAGTCCTGTGCCTTTGAGCTGTGCCACAGTCTTGCTTCTTGTCTCTTTGTGTTCCCAAACCCATCCATGAAATGGGGGCAAAAGTCATCATCCTGACCTTGTGCGGAGCGCCTGAGAAGTGCTTGCAGAGCCCTGAGCACGGGCCTGGTGCCTGGCGCACAGCCATTGCTGAACTTTATGATCCTTCCCTGTGCCTGGGAGGACCAGCCACCAGGAGGGCCCATGACTGGCCTCGCGTGTCCAGGTCCTGCCAAGTACGGGCCAGGCTGGGCATCATTTCTGCTGTGGGGAACACTACCTAGAGGGGAGAGGAGGGGTCTTGGGGGAGACCTCTGCCTCCCAGACCCCTGCCAGCTCTAGCCCCGACCACGGTGACAGCTGCAGAAAAGTGCTCCCAGACCAAGCGCTTGCTCTTTGCCCTGGCTTTGACCCAAACACTCTTTGTAGGTCAGAGGCTCCCTGGTGATGATCATATAAATCATGATTTGTTTTCTTTCTCCTGGGAACAAAGATGCTATGGATGAACTGTAACTATTCATCAAGTCACCTCTGATTACACAAAAGAAACATGGGTCGCCCGCGCGGGCTGTGGGAATCTCCGGTGGAGACTGGTGCCAGCTGACTGCCAACGCCGCCACACGGAGTGAGCTGCCCATGGAGCCAGACTCAGGCTGAAGAATTATTCCCGCGTCCCTCCCCACTGCCAGTAATGCCTCCCCAGAGGGAGGCCAGGAAGACGCTGTCCCTCCGAGATCGGTCCAGTTGCGGCCTATGACTGCTTTGAATTGAAATTCACCGAGCCTTTGGTGGCTCTACGGCTCTTGGCGTCCTCCAGTCACACTTCCTGGCCTATGTTAAAAGATTCCCGGCCGGGCCCGGTGGCTCACGCCTGTAATCCCAGCACCTTGGGAGGCCAAGGCAGGTGGATCACAAGGTCAGGAGATCGAGACCATCCTGGCTAACACGGTGAAACCCCGTCTCTACTAAAAAATACAAAAAATTAGCCAGGCGTGGTGGCGGGTGCCTGTAGTCCCAGCTGCTTGGGAGGCTGAGGCAGGAGAATGGTGTGAACCCGGGAAGCAGAGCTTGCAGTGAGCCAGGATCATACCACTGCACTCCAGCCTGGGTGACAGAGTGAGACTCCGTCTCAAAAAAAAAAGAATCCCAAGTAGGCCTGGTCCAGGGAGGAAATGCAGCCCTGATTTGAGAAGGGTTCTACACCCCAGCCTATCAGCTAGCATGGAAGAGTTCCAGAAGCCTAAAGTTACCTGCAACTCTCCCAGCCTCCCAGCTCTTCCTTCTGGCCCATAATTAGGCCAAATTTGATCCCACCGGAGGCCTCTACACGTCCCTACATCACTGCCAGTTCCGTCATGGCAGGGCTGCAAGGCTGACCCTCTTTTCATTAGGGTCTCAGCTCTCCTCTCCTCAAAGACACCTGGCTTCCCTGACCCCTCAACTTAAAGAACCATCCCCTTCACTTCCTACCAAACTGCCCATCTCCCTATATAGCACTTGTCACTCCTGAATTATCTTGTTCTCCTATTCCTCAGACCCACACACACGTGGACAGTAGAATGTGTGGCTGACGTGATGACGGGCCGGGCAGTTGGGTGCACCCAGTTGCTGTTTGTTGAATGAATAAATGTGAGAAGGGACATCCAGGCCAGGAGTAGGGGATGTCTCTTCACTCATGGCCTCAGCCTGGTAGGGCAGGTTCGGTCCACTTGCCAGACAGGCTTGGGAATGGCCATAGGGGAGTTTTGTCTAGGGTCACATGCAATGAGCTGTAGGCAGAGTGGACAAGTCCCTGGGATTCCACACCCACTCATTCAGCAGACGTTTACTGGAGTCAGGCTCTGGGCATACAGAGCCGGGAAGACAAGGCCCCTGGCCTCATCAGTCAGGAAGAGATGGGATGAAAACACACATCTGTCTGTGTGATGCAGGGCCTGGCCGGAAATCTGGGCATGCAGGGAGTGAAGAGACGGAATGTGGCTCAGGGGCTTCCCTAGGGACTAGCTTTCGGCTGTCACACAGGATGCACACAGAACGCAAAGCCAAGCAACCACAGGGCGGCCGGGAGGCCGGGTGCAGTGGCTCACACCTGTAATCCCAACACTTTGGGAGGCCGAGGCAGGCGGATCACCTGAGTTCAGGAGTTCGAGACCAGCCTGGTCAACGTGGTGAAACCCCATCTCTACTAACAATACAAAAATTAGCTGGGCATGGTGCCACGCACCTATAATCCTGGCTACTTGGGAGGCTAAGGCAGGAGAATCACTTGAACCTGGGAGGTGGAGGTTGCAGTGAACCACGCCACTGCACTCCAGCCTGGGCGACAGAGTGAGGCTCAAGTCTCAAAAAAAAGGGCAGCAGGGAACAAGGCCAGCGGAAGAGTGAGTGGGCATCGTGGGCACGGGTGATAATTTCAGCGAGGCTCAAGGTTGGCCTTGCTGAGGTGGGGTCTGAGCAAAGACTTGGAGGAGGGCAGGGAGCAGGCGGGGATCAGCCTCTGTGAAGGCAGGGGCGCTGGCCTGTTGGAGGGGACCACAGCCCGGAGGAGGGACGGCCTCTGGGCCATTATAAGGAAGTGAGCAGCCTTCCCTGTCAGTGGCCAGAAGCCTGTGATGGGACTTACTCTTTTTTTTTTTTTTGAAACAGAGTCTTGCTCTGTTGCTCAGGCTGAAATGCAGTGGTGCAATTTCGGCTCACTGCAACCTCTACCTCCCAGGTTCAAGTGATTCTCATGCCTCAGCCTTCCAAGTAGCTGGGACTACAGGTGGGAGCCACCACACCCGGCCAACTTTTTTCCCCACTGAGATGGAGTCTTGCTCCGTCGCCCAGGCTGAGTGCAGTGGCGCGATCTTGGTTCACTGCAACCTCCACCTTCTGGGTTCAAGCAATTCTCCTGCCTCAGCCTCCCAAGTAGCTGGGATTACAGACGCCCACCACCATGCCCAGCTAATTTTTGTATTTTTTGGTAGATACGGGGTTTCACCATATTGGCTGGGCCGGTCTCAAATTCCTGACCTCGGGATCCACCCGCCTCAGCTTCCACCACACCCGGCTGGGACTTGCATTGTCTTTTCTTTTCTTTCTTTCCTTCTTTTAGAGTCTCGCTCTGTTGCCCAGGCTGTGCAGTGGTGCGATCTCGGCTCACTGCAAGCTCTGCCTCCCAGGTTCACGCCATTCTCCTGCCTCAGCGTCCTGAGCAGCTGGGACTACAGGCACCCACCACCATGCCTGGCTAATTTTTTGTATTTTTTAGTAGAGACGGGTTTTCACCGTGTTAGCCAGGATGGTCTCGATCCGCCTTCCAGGTTCCAGCGATTCCCCTGCTTCAGCCTCCGGAGTAGCTGGGACTATAGGCACGTGCCACCACACCCAGCTAATTTTTGTATTTTTTAGTAGAGACGGGGTTTCTCCATATTGGCCAGGCTGGTCTTGAACTCCTGACCTCGTGTTCTGTCTGTTTCAGCCTCCCAAAGTGCTGGGATTACAGGTGTGAGCCACCGCACCCAGCAGGACTTGTGTTTTCAAAGGCTGCGGGTGGAGATGGACGGGCGAAGGCCCGGGCCTTTTAGGCTTACTGGCTCCCCTTTTAGGCTCCCCTTTTCCCTTCCTTAGTGCACAGCCTCACAGAGCCTGGCTGCTGCCATGGCCCATCTGAACCCAAGAGGTTCAGGTAGCCCCCACATGGGGCAGAAAGGGGGTTTCTCAGAAGCCCTGGAACGCCCCAGCAGTGCGCTGCTTACAGAGCCCCAGGGCCCAAGGCTCAGCTCTCCCCCTTGGAAGGGTAGGGCAGGCACACTAGCCCTGGTTAGACAACAGCTGGGACCAGGAGCTGCTGGTGGAGACATGAGATGGTCTCCTGCTGTGAGGGGCTTCTCCGGACTCCACCAGGTCCTTCGTTTCTCAGAGCCTCCACCTGGGTCAGGAGGTCAAGGACGGCAGCCACCTCCTCAGTGTGGACACAGGCCCCGCCCCCACACCCTGCTACCGGCTGAACTGACAGACACCGTGGGTAGAGCTGGGGCTGGTGATTAAAAAGGAACGAGCCCCCACGGCCTGTGCCAGAGTCAGGGGCCTAGTGCAGAAAAGGACCACCCCAGGCAGAGCCTCCAGCCTTCTAAGGGGGAGAGTTGAGCCCTGGGCCCTGGGGCTGTCTAAGCTGAGAGCTGCTGGGGCTTCCTAAGAAACCCCCTTTCTGTCCCAGGTCGGGGCTTCCTGAACCCCTGGGCCGTGGGAGCAGCTAGGCTCTGTGAAGCTTTGCACAAAGGAAGGGAAAAGGGGAAGTCTCCAGTGGACTTGAAAGGCCCTGAGTGATTAGGACCTGGACCAGGAGTGGGAGAGAGACCCAGAGAGGAGGTACAGCCAGCTCAAGGCCACACAGCAAGCCAGGGGTGACCACAGCTGGTGGATCAGCCTCTCTAAAACACCATTTCTGTACCTGTCAGCTCCACGAGGTAGGGACACTTGTCTGGTTCACCAGCATATCACTGGCATTTCTAATATTGCCTGGCACATAGAAGATGCTCAATAAGCCTTAGTTGAATGAGTCCATCTGTAAAATGGGCTGACTGCAGAGCTACTGCTAGGGGTGGTTGTGTGGCTCAGATGACACGGGGTGTTGCCAGACTCCTAGAAGATACTCAGCACCAGGTTCTTTTTCTTTTCTTTCCTTCCTTTCTTTCGTTCATTCCTTTTTTTTTTTTTTTTTTAACCAGAGTCTTGCTCTGTTGCCCAGGCTGGAGTGCAATAGCATGATCTGGGCTCATTGCAACGTCTGCCTCCCTGGTTCAAGCGATCCTCCTGCCTCAGCCTTCCAAGTAGCTGGGATTACAGGCATGTGCCACCTATACAGGCATAGTCTGGCCACACGCCCAGCTGATTTTTGTATTTTTGGTAGAGACGGGGTTTCACCATGTTGGTCAGGCTGGTCTTGAACTCTTGACCTCAGGTGATCCACCCGCCTCAGCCTCCCAATGTGCTGGGCTTACAGGCATAAGCCACCGTACCCAGCCCCAGGTACTTTCCAATCCCACTCCAGTCTAGTCTGGTTGGGGTAGGGGAGGCTTTGGGGGAAGGAGACACCTGCTGAAGTTGATAAAATCTCTGGGCTAACTGGTTTTCCCGCTTGCTGTGACTGGCAACACCCAGGAGCCCAGGGGAAGAGCCTGGAGCCTCCTCACTGCCCAGCCTGGAAGCTCAAGCCTCAGGGTCCCAGCTGAGCCCAGGCTCCCCGACCCCCACAGCCCCGCCCAGCTGCTCAGGCCCTGGGGCAGCCAGAAGCAGGTGTGAGGGGGTCAGAGGAAGCTTCTGGACTCCAGGACCCTCCTGGGAGGGTGGCCACCAGCCTTGGGGACACCTGCTCTTCGCCCCTCCTCACTCTGCCCTGATTGAGGGTCTGGACCCTCAATCCGCCCCTTCATCAGCCACTGGAGCTCCTGCCAGGAGGGTCAACCCTCCCAACTCAATCTCCCCGAGACCCAGGGCCTGGGACTTGCCCAGCCCGGCTCCTGCCAGCCCCATGTCTCCCAACTGAGAGATCCCTTTTCTTTTTCTTTTTCTTTTTTCCCTCGAGATGGAGTTTCACTCTTGTTGCCCGGGCTGGAGTGCAATGGCACGATCTTGGCTCACTGCAACCTCCATCTGCCAGGTTCAAGCGATTCTCCTGCCTCAGCCTCCTGAGTAGCTGGGATTACAGGCATGTGCCACCACGCCCGGCTAATTTTGTATGAGAGATCCCTTTTCTACAAGGGCCCAGAGGGAGGGTCCCATGTGGCAGCAGCCCCTGAGGTCATTGGGACAAGTCCTCTGCTTCTGGGAAGACTTGGCCCCATGAACGGGATAGACAGGGAGGTGTGGGGGATGTGCAGGGCATTCCTTCTATTATAACACCCCAAGGTGTAGCCCTGGAATTAGCTGAGCTTTCCCGAGGCTGTCCAGCCTTCCAGCCCCTCTGCAGTGTGTCACTTCCATTTCCCATGGTCACCCACAGCCTCCCTGGGCAGGATCGAGTTTCCCACCAGCAGGTCCGGGAGCCCTTCCTCCCTCAGCACTCACCCACACGCCAGCGAGAGAGCTGAGCCTTGTGAATAATTCACAGCCATTCACAGCAGGCCGCAGAGGCTCGCAAGAGCATGAAGCTGGGCCACCTGGGTCCCTTGATTGTGCCCTGTGGCCTGGGGCAGCTCAAGCCTCTGCCCTCCCCAGCTCCCAGCCCTCATATCCACAGCCTTCGTGAGCAGGAATCCCTACTCCCAAGGTAGGAGGTTAAGTGGGTACACCAGCCCCCAACCCCAGTTCCCAGCTGCCCCTCCTGCATGAGCCCAGCCTGGCAACCACACAAAGACACCTTCTTATCAGCCGAGTCACACACCGCTGTGGGAAACGGAGCCCAAGCCCTCTGTCCACCTCCCTGAGATTCATGGTGACTCCTGGGGGGCTGGCGGCTCATCAGTCCAGGCCATCTGGCCACTGGGTCAGCGCCAGCGCCCAATCACATGCAGCAGCTGGCATGGTCTGGAAGGGGATCAGGGTCCCCCAGCCCCGGAGCCCTGGAGGGCGTTCCACAGCATAGCCAGTCTTCCTAACACCTGGGATCCCAGCCCACGGAGGGATCGTGGCTCATCCTAGACCTGGCTTCTCAGTGAGGAAGGCTCGGACTGGCGGTCCTCACCAGCGCTTGCAGAAGGCGGGCTCAGCGTCTTCCAGTTCACACTTGGGCCTTATTGGTCCCGCCATCAGGGGTACGTGCCCCTCTCAAGACCTGTCCTTCTCCTCTGCTTGAAGTGAGGGGGTGGGACAGGTGCATCAGAATCACCGCTGTGAGGATGGGGACATGTCCCAGGTGTGGCTCCTAGGCCCCAACCTGGAGAGTCTAACTCAGGAATCTGGGACAGCCTCCAAGAGGTGCTGACAGGAGCCAGTTGGAACCCTCTACTCAAGGGTCCCTGGGGCCCTCCTGCTCTAAATCCCACTGACTTTGACATGATCCAAACCCTAGTTTGTTTGGAAGCAGTGAATTCATACCAAAGCGGCCACCAAGAAGGCCTGGCAGGGCTGGTTGTGAAGCGCCCCCTCCCGGGGGCAGCACCTGTTGGGTGTCCCACTGACCAAACCATGGAGCCCCTTCTTAGTAAGGATGGAACCAGGCCCAGCTCCCCTGTCCTGGGCCAATGGGACCACTGGAGCCCGGCCTGGTGGGTGCTAGGGCTACCCTACATCCACGCCAGTGTGCCTGGGCCCAAGAGGCTGCAGCTGCTGTAGCCACCTTGCCACATGGTCATATGGCCAGAACTGGCCTTCAGCCTGCTCCCTGGTGGCCAGGGGCCCTGCAGGCACACCCAGAAACTGACCAGTGGTGGGGACAGGCCAGACCCTCTCACCTCGTAGCTGCTGTCGTCCTGAGGCTGGGTCTACATTCACATTTACATCTCAGGCTCCCACTTAGACTAACGAGGGTTAACCGTCATAGCACCCCATTCCCCATTCAGACCCCTGTGGCATCTGGCACCCTACCCTCTCAGACAGGGCCTGCGCAGCTTTCCCCAGGATGCCTGCCTCTCCAGGTGCACCTAAGACCTGAGTCCCTCCCTCCCTCCCCCAGACTCACACGTGCCCCCTGCTCTGTATGACCCCCCACCCCACCTGGGGGAGCTCCCAGCCCACTCCCCAGGAGGTTTAGGAGCCCCATGCTTCCCTTGATAGTGGGAATGGGCTGAGGGGCCACAGGAGATAACAAGTTGCTCTCTGGATGGCCTCCAGCCAGGGGTTCTGGGGCCAGGAGGTGGGGTGGGGGTCTGGGAGGGGCCTTTCTCCTTTAACTGCTTGAGTAACTGATGGGGTTCCCTTTCCGCCTGTTTGACTAGGGCCTAGGAGGCGCTCCTGCCCTTGCTGCTCCCCACTCCGTCCTGAACAGTCTTGCAAATGAACACAGCCTAAGCTAGAGAGAGCCTCTGCTGCAGAAGCAGCCCAACGGGAACAAGTGACCTTGGCCTGCGTGCCCAGCCTCCCAGGCCCAGCTGCGTGCGGCTGGGAAGCTGAGGATGCTGGGAGCACCTGCTTGCAGGGCTCTGGGGACAGCCCCAGAAGGGGTTTTCCAGGAGGGGAAAATTTCATGTTGAGTGGAAGCCATTTCTCTGGCCTGGCCCTCTGGCCCCAGGATGGCCACTGGAGGGATCATTGTCCTGGAGTGTCAGAGAGGCGTGGAAAATCCCAGGCATCCCCCAAAGCCCTTTCCCAGCCCACCCAGAGTACCCCTTAAGAGGGGTGATCTTACTCAGGGTAGTGCCCGACGAGAAGCCTCAGGGAGGGGAAGTCTCCTTTGGCGGCAGCGTAGTGGATAGGCAGGGCACCCATGTCTGTGGCCGCGGTGGGGTCCCCACCGCCATGATGCAAGAGCCAGTTTACCACCTCGGGGTGGCCGAAGCGGGCAGCCAGATGCAAGACTGTGGCACCAGAATTGTCTTTGTCCTGTGGGAGGAGAGCCAGTTCAATTCCTAAAGCCTGTTGCTGCCCCGCCCCTGGCTTGGGCCACTCCCAGACTCCCACAGGCCTGGAGGGTGGTTCTGTGCTCTCTGTCTTCCCTGGAGGGATTGGCCAGGCCTCATCAGCAATGTTTTGTTTTTTTTCTTTTAGGTCATGTGGATCCTGGGTTTGAGTTCTGCTTCTGTCCTTGGGCAACTAATTGGCCCTCTCTGAACCATAGCCAACAGGCAGCAGCACCATGCAGGGCTTTCAGAGGCCTGCAGGTCCTGACTGCGAGCTGCCTACACAACAAGTACCTGGTTGTCACAGTAGGAGACTGGCTCCAGGCCCAGAACCACAGCCCTGACTCCCAGGGGCTCAGGGAGTGCCCGAAGGAGTGACAGAGGGTTACTGGGCGGAGCAGGGCCAGGAAGGGGGGCTGTGGGGCTGTACCAAGCTAGCACCAGGACTGGGGGGCACCCCCTGCATCCAACACTTGCCCCCTCTCTCTCCACCCTTCCTAGGTGTCACGTGGGAACAGAGACCTCCGCCTTAGTGCGCCTCCGGCAACCCAACTTCAGTGCAGAAACCTGCGGCCCTCCCCCAGCAGACTCGCCAGCGCGCAGCCATAGGAGCAGCCTGTGTTCTTGCCCCTGTGGAGGTGGAAGTTGCTAGGTACTGGTGGGTGGGTCCGGGGCAGTCAGCCAGGGGTGCTAGGTGCAGGCTAGTGGTGGCCCCTGGGAGGGCTTGGACCAAACTCCCCCCAGGGGCCTCAGAGCGAGTGCGGCCAGGGGTCTGCGCCCAGAACTGCTGAATGTGTCATCAGTGGACACCCCACTGTGTGTGTCTGCCGAGAAAGGGGCTGGAGGGGAGTGCTTATGGGACCTGTGCTGGGAGGAGAATCCCCAGGAACATCTAGACACAGAGGCTGCTGCACTTGGCAGAGTGGGCACTGGTTTGGGAACAGAACAACCTCCCAGCACCAAGCACATAGGACGACAGAGGGGTAGGCAAGGCCGCGGCTGCAGGAGGCAGTGCGCGAACTTCACTAGGATCAGGAAGCAAAGCCTCTCTGCCCCGCCTTGCCCAGAGACAGGGCACTGTGGTTACAGACTGGCAGAGGCAGCAGGAGCTGGCAAGAGACCCCAGGCCTCAGGAAGCTGAATCACAGTGGGAAGAGAAGCTCTGAGGCTCCTGCGAGAAATGCAAGGAAAAGAGGTCACAGAGGGAGCTAGGGTCCCTGGGGCCACTGGTAGGGTCTTCAGGCAGCCTGCAGGGTGGGGGCAATGGCCTGGCGGTCCTGCTAAGGAGGCAGGAAGACGGGGCAGAGAATGTCATGGCCCACAGGAAGCTGAGGGCAACACCGAGGCCCCTCCTGTGTGCTAGAAAGCTGAGAGTGGGGGGGACCAGAGAGTGGTTCAGTGTGTCCCCTCTGAGCCCAAAGGTCGGGGCTGGCTAGCGGGCACCCGGGCAGAACCATGGTGAAATGTGACCTGAGCCCCAGCTCCTGAGAAAGGCGCTCCCTTCCTACTGGCCTTGGGGACTGTGGGTCTGAGGCTCCAGGGGTCCCACTGGCTCTGGGCCTGTCAGTGGTGAAAACTGTATGGAGAGGGCCACAGGCCTCTGGGCTCTGGCCTGTGCCTGTCCAGGCTGTCCAGCTGTCCAGGCCCCAGGAGCCTCATGTGCGGTGGACCACACCCTAAAGCAGCTTATCTCTCTGGGCTGGGCAAGCCCAAGGATCCAGGTCATCCCCCGCACACTTTCTCCCCCCCGCACCCAAGCCTGCCCGGCCCAGAGGGCAGGAGACCTGATAAGCTGGGCCCAAGGCCACCTGCTCCTCCCAGTTCCTCTGCACTGGCCAGGGCTGGACACTGGATCAGGGAGGCATGCCACCGCGCAAAAGAGTGGCCATGGGCCACGTGACCAGGAAGCCCTGGTAATGGGGCCCACTGAGAGATACCAGGTGGGCTATCTCCCAAGAAGGGTGGGAAGGGGGGCCTGCTATCTGAGGGCAGAAGGTGGGGGTGGCCTGGCGATCTTTGGGGCATAGTAAGCCGGTTTAGAGTTACCCTGACTCCTCTCCTTCCATCTCCAGGTCACCCGGTGGTCTAAGTGGAAAATTAGTTCTGGTTCCTCCCTCCTGTGGCTACCCCCTCAACCAGAATTTCATCCAAATCCCTAACCTTGGCTAGGATACTGTCTGGCCTGGCCCTGGCAGCTTTTCCCCTCTTCACCCACTCTGAACACGCTGCCTGCGGCTGGCCCTCCAACAGGACAGGAGCATGCACGCCTCAGGGATCTGCACTTCTTGTTCCCTGTGCCTGGAACTGTCCCACCGCTGCCTGGCTGGCTACCTGCTTCTCAGCAGCCAGGACTGCCCTTGGAGGTCACTGCTCAGAGTGACCAGGTGGGGTCTGGAGGCAGCAAGAATCAGCCTGGGTTGGAGAAGCAGCTGACAACTGGGAGCCTTGACAGCACTGATGTCCTGGGGTCAGCCTGGGTTATGGGCAGACCACCATTTACCACGGCCCATCACCCTTCCCCCACATCCTGGCTGGGACACCTGTATCTCAGCCTGGGGTGGGCTGTGGGACTTTGCCCAGCCTCCTTTCAGATCCGGTCCTGGAGGGCATGGGCGTCTGACTCTGCTGCCCAGGCCTCATGTCCCCACCCACTCCCAGGACTACAGGATCAGTGCTTTGTTTCTCCCGGTACATACTAGTAAGCACCAGCCCCACGGAGACCCCTCCCTTCTGGCTCCCATCACCCAGGTGCGCTTCCAGGGAGGCCCCAGGCTCGCCAGGGCATCTGCCCGCGTACTGGCAAGTCAGGGAGCCCACTCACCTGAGGGCCTCTGGAAGGAGCTCCGTGCAGGGCTCAGCTGGGCCAGGAGGTGCCAAACCCCACCCATTCTTGAGCCCCGGGGGACTCTGGGCCAGGACCCTCTCCGTAGGAGGAAGCCGCAGCGCCCCTGGCGAACCGCGCGGACCCACCTGCACTCTGCAGCCGCCCTGCGACAGCAGCCACTGCAGGCAGGCGAGCTGGCCGGTGGCGGCGGCGTCATGGGCCGGTGTGGCGCCGTTGCGGGCGCGGGCCGCGGCGGGGAAGGCGGCTTCCTCCACCAGGAAGCGCAGACAGTGCAGCTTCCCCGCGCGGGCCGCGTGGTGCACGGGCAGCGCGTCCAGCGGGTCGCGCAGCGAGGGCCCCAGCAGGCCTGCGGCATGCAGCGACCTCAGCACGTCCAGCTCGCCTTGCCGCGCCGCCTGCAGCGCCTGCTCCAGGGCCATGGTGCCGCCTGCGGCGCCGCGACTCCGAACTCAGCGCCTTCCCCAGGACGCCATGCGTGTGTCCTCGCGAGCCGGAGGAGCCCGCGGTGCGGCCGTCGGGGATCTGCGGGCCGGGAGGCGGAGCGGCTGTGGGCCCGGCCTCTGCTCCGCGCTGCCTGGCGCTCCGCTCCGCCGAGCTCTGGGGCCGGAGCCCGCCGACGCCGGCTTAAGCCTCCGGCCCGCCCTCACCCCTCCCCGCCCCGCCCCGCCCCGCAGTCTCTGCCTGAGTCCCCCGCCCGCCCCCGCCGCGCCGCAGGGACACTCGTGCGACTGGGGCAGGACGCCCAGAGGTTTCTCTCTTAATTTGCCTCAAGTAACAGTGGAGACCCCAGAGCGCAGCAAAACTGGGTTCGAATTGGAGAGCCGTCCAGGTACAGACAAATTCATTCATCTGCCCAGTGACCGCTAACTGCGGTTCTAGGCGCTGGCAACCCAATTTCAGAGGTGATGGGGAATGACTGTCGGGACAGCGTGGGCGGACAGGGAAAAGTATCTGAGAAGGTGCAGTGGGGCTGGGTTTCAGTGGAGAGAAGGGTATTCCAGGTGGGGAGCGCGAGGACAAGGGCCCTGAGGCAGGAGCAGCCCTACCACGTCCCTGAGGGGCTCTAGGTCGAAATCCCCAGAAAGTGCAAAGAGCCCTGCCTTCCAGGGTCCCTCCAGATCCGAGAACTGCCCCCAGAGCTTCCAGCGGGGAGGGCAGGAGGGCAGGACAGGAACCACTGGTGCGCTGGGAACTCGATCTAGACGCTATGGCCTCAGGCCGCCCACAGCCGCTGTCGGGGTGGAGGGGCTTCCAGCCACACAGAAGGCAGTGATGGGAGGGATAGGGCTTGTGGGGAGACGCGGGAGCGCAAGCATCCAGAGAGAGAGGGCTGAGACCCCTGCAGGGGCGCAGGAAAGCGCCAGAGGGCGCGGGCAGGACAGCGAATGTGTGCCAAGCCACCCTGTGGGCTCCACTGAACACCAGCCGTGGGAGCGGCTAGTGCCCAAAGGCCGCGAGGAAAAGCTGACAGAAGGTGGGGGCTACATGGCTGTGGGAGTACAGGCCGCCTATCAGCGATCTTGAAGCACCCTGTGCCCTTCCTGTCCCAACACCCACCCCCTCTGGAATCCCGTGGGGGCTTGGCCCGACCCGGGCTGAAGGTTTCACTCCGCGCCAGCTCTGGCCTGGCACAGTCAGCGCTGGAAATGCTGTAGAATGAAGGAAGCTCCTTCCAGGAACAGTGGGAGTCATAGTGCTAAACTCACAGTGCTAAACTCGGGGGCTGCCTCCGGTCCCTTCCCTGGGGCTGCCACCTAGTGGCGACCTGCGTGGTGGCCTCCCGCGCTCCCAGGTGCCCAGGTAACTGGAGCTGCTGGGCCGTACCTAGCCAGGTGGGTTTCCAACGACTTCCACCTGGCCAGATCACCCTCACTCTCTCCATGGGAGCTGTGGCCGCTGGAATCTGGGACCCTTGCCCAGTGGTTTGCAACAAAGGGAGGGAGGAGTCATTTCCTCGCAGCCTCACTGCTGGAGCTGGCGGTGGCCAGAGCAACAGGCTCACTGCGGCCAGCGCTGTCCTCCTCTAGGTGCCCAGAGGCAGGTGTACCGTGAGGCCAGCAAGCGGCAGGGGTACTGTCGGGAAGAGGTGCTAAAATGGCTTGTCTTGGGCACCCCTCCCCTGCGCCTCCTCCATTCCAAAAGGCCCTGCAATTTGTGTTCTCCACTCCTAAGGTGGCCACCTTGGTCATGGACAAGCTCATCTAGCACATGGTTTTGTGATTTTGTGGGCCAGGTCCAGGTGATGCTTTATTGCTATTCCAGTGGGATGGGCAGATGCCCCTGAGCCCCTGCCACTGTTGCTAATGACATCTCCATTAGTGCCACATGTGAGCACCCACCCCTGCTGACCAACCTCTCAGACTCCTTTCAGGACATGACTCAAACTCACGCTGCGAGCCAGGCCCTTCCTGCCACGCTTCTGTCAGGCTTCTGTCTTTTCCAGGCTCTCCCATGTCCACCGGGTCAACTGGGTCCTCCCCAGCAGCCCTAGGGAGCTCACGCCAGCAGTAGCACTTTTATTTTATCTGTGCTACCCACCAAGTGCCCACCATGCTTCGCATGGATATTTAATCCAGAGGTGCTGTGAGAGAGGTACAGCTATTGTTTCCAGTTTATAGCTGGGGATAATGAGGCATGGAGAGATGGGGAGGTGTTTTTTTTTTTTTTTGAAATGAGTATTGCTTAGTTGCCCAGGCTGGAGTGCAGTGGTGCAATCTCAGCTCACTGCAAGCTCCGCCTCCCAGGTTCACACCATTCTTCTGCCTCAGCCTCCAGAGTAGCTGGGACTGCAGGCGCCTGCCACCATGCCTTGCTAATTTTTTGTATTTTTAGTAGAGACGGGGTTTCATAGTGTTAGCCAGGATGGTCTCGATCTCATGACCTCGTGATCCGCCCACCTCGGCCTCCCAAAGTGGTGGGATTACAGGCGTGAGCCACCGCGCCTGGCCTGTTTGTTTTTTGAGATGTAGTTTCACTCTTGTTGCCCAGGCTGGACTGCAATGGCACAATCTAGGCTCGCTGCAACTTCTGCCTCCCAGGTTCAAGTGATTCTCTTTCCTCAACCTCCCAAGTAGCTGGGATTACAGGTGTCTGCCACCATGCCTAGCTAATTTTTTTATTTTTTATATTTTTAGTAGAGATGGGGTTTCATCAGGTTGGCCAGGCTGGTCTCGAACTCCTGACCTCAAGTGATCTGCCCACATTGGCCTCTCAAAGTGCTGAGATTATAGGCATGAGCCACCACGCCCAGCCTTGTTTTGTTTTTTAAAGCATTTTGGCTGAGATGACACAGACGGAAGTGGCAAACCTCACTCCCTGGCTGATCCTGCTAGGCTCTTCTTTCCTCTCCACCCAAGGTTCCCTCTGCTCACAGAACCCCCATAATCTCCCACCCTCCAGATATCAGCTTAGAGATTCTCTCCACAGGAGGCCTTCTCTCACCCCTCTGCTGGGCTCACCCCAGCCCGCCCCAGGTTTCTCCTCAACCCAAGGGCCAGTGCACTTCCCAAGAGTAGGGACCGGGGTGGAGTGTATCCTTACTGTATCCTAGGTGGCCAGAGCTCCCCTAAAGCCTGCACCCGACACTTGCCCACCTAGCTGTCTTTAATGCTCCTCTGATTCCAGACCACTCCTTCCAAGTAACCAGTAAAACCTGAAAATCCTTGAGTTGAAGATAACTGTGGGTTACTTGGTTAAAGTCCTTTACGCAATGGGAGAGTGGAGGAAGAAATATTTTTAACTGGGGGTAACTGGCAATGGAAACGATGTTTGCTCCCCTGCCATTCAGTCTTCAAATGGTGGTCCACAAGCCTGGAGGGGGATATTCTAAGGGGAGCCTCCTCCTTCAGCCTTTTTCTCCCAGGAGTTAGAATCAGTCCCTTCCCAAGATGCAGATGCTGCAGGCGGACTTGTGGGTGCAGAACTGAGTCAGTCAAGCTAAGTGGCTTGGGCTGGGGATGAGAGGGAAAAGATCCACAGAGTTTTTTAGGCTCTTAAAGAACAATTCACTGTCTTGGGGGAGGCCTATGGAGGCAAATTGGCCTCAACCATGGAGAACAAGGTCTCAGGTTCCTCCAAGCCCTGCTGGGCCAAATATCTTGAATGATTTATTCTCACTTGTTACAACTTTTTTTTTTTTTTTTTTTTTTGATTCTCAGCTTAGTCACTGTTGGTGTAATGCAGTGGCGGGATCTCGGCTCACTACAAGCTCCGCCTCCCGGGTTCACACCATTCTCCTGCCTCAGCCTCCCGAGTAGCTGGGACTACAGGCACCCGCCACCACGCCCAGCTAATTTTTTTGTATTTTTAGTAGAGACGGGGTTTCACCGTGTTAGCCAGGATGGTCTCTATCTCCTAACCTCGTGATTCGCCCACTTTGGCCTACCAAAGTGCTGGGATTACAGGCGTGAGCCACTGCGCCCGGCCTTGTTAGCACTTTTTATGAGGGTTAATGCAGGCGCGAGCCTTAAAGCATTAAGCCCTGACCTTGGCACACAGTAAATGTCCATGAACAGTGGCCTACCGTCCTTCCCATGCCACAGATAGGTATGGGTGGCCTGGGCTCCCCTGGCCCAGGCTTCTCCGGGCCCCTTAGTGTGTTCGTTGGTCTTCTTCCACCCTGCGGGGAGAACCCTGAAGGAGGGGGATGTGGGGCTAGCGGAAGGGGTGGAGCTTGGAAGTGGGGTTCAGGAGACAGGGGGTTCATCCAGCACCCTGGACAGAGCCCTCCTTGGCTCCGCCCCATGTGGCCTCCTCCCGGCTGGCTCTGTGGATCCCTCCAGTTATCTCTCTGCCCAGTAGTTCGCAGTGTGGTCCGCGGGCGTGGCCGTTGCCCCGCCAGCCGGTCGGGGGAGGGGAGCCTGGAGCAGATGGGCGGGGGACGCCAGCCAGTTTGCCGCAGCAACGGCCACGCGGCGCGAAGGCGGTCCTGGGCGGGCCACTGGGGCCCGGGCGGGCAGCCCGGGGCCCGCACCCAGGACTGTCCCGCCCGCGCGTCACGTGATCCCTGACTGTCCTGCGGGGCAGAACCCGGACCCCTAGCCGGTGGGAATGAAAACGAGCTCCGAGGGCTCCCGGGCCGCCCCTGCTTCTCCAGGATTCCGTTTCCCCACCCAAAGCCTGGAGTGGGGTAACCAGAAGGCTCTTAACTAGGCAAGCCGCTGAAGGATTCCGCGGGGTCCTTAGAGCCGGGCGTCCAGCGACTGAGGCCCTTGTCCAGGCTTGGCCTGTTCCCAGCGTCGAGGGCTGGAGCAAGTTACGACCTCTCTCCGGACCTCGGATTCCCCGTCCAGCTCAGCCCTTCACCCGATAAAGCAGCTGGGGGTGTGAGTCCCTCCTGCTGCTGTCCCTCGTAGGAGCCCCCATAACCGCTGGGTTCCCTGCTCCGGCCCAGGGCGGGGCTCAGAGGAGATGCTGAACCCGAGCCTGGGGAATGAATGAAGGGCAGCATTGGAGAGGAGGGGCAGTAGCTTGAGCCAGGCAAGGCCTGGCCCCACCTGGCCCTCCTGCCCTTGGGGTCACGCAGCGAAGGCCCCCAATGGCGCCCTCACAACTGCCCCGCAGGTGCTCGTGGACAACTGGGGGCCGCCACCTCGCGGTA